TTCTTAAGTTTGTAGTCATGACAGCGGTGTGTTTTTTTACTCTAAATCTCTCTCTTTCTTTTTCCCTAGAAATGGCTGAATCCTCTGTCAGCTCCTGAATCATTCTTCAGAGTCCAACAATGCGACCAAATTTCTCCCGTTGAGTTATGTGAAAGTTCTGATGTAGTCACATCCAGCGCCGCCTTCACCAGCGCTGTACGTCACTTCAAGAGCTACCCCTCGACGGGCTCAGACACCAGCGGGGTCGTTGACAATTCCTCCTCGTCCTCTTCATCCTGCTTCTCTAACATGGGCTACTTCATGTCCAGCTCCTCCAGCAGCTCAGCTCGAACCGACCCCAATCCTGCCTACTTCACCTATCAGGACGATTTCCACAATCTGCATAACAGCCGCAACCTTCACCTCTCCCTCTGCCCCATCTTCACCTCCTCTGCAACCTATGAGAGCTTGAAGAGGGAGCCGCAGAGCCCGGACTCTGGCTTTGGCATCGGAAAGGAAGATGAAGATGATAGTGAAGACAAAAGCGCTGTGGATTTTGAAGGGGAAGAGGTTTTAAAAGAATGCTCTCCTCTTTTTATCCTCCCTCTCCATCTTCCTTCCCGGATGCCCCCACCCTCCTCTCCTTCACCCCCTCCTTACACCCCCAGTCTAACTCAGGTATCCTCTGACAGCCAGCCAGTAGATGCACCTGTGGCAGGTGCTGGTGAGAGCTATGCGGCCTGGCCTTTGGCCGGTGCCATGTGCAGGTCTTCCTCCATGCCTGTGGAGCCCGGTAAAACAGGGTATCTGACCCTGAAAGAGCTACAGACGACATTCAGTAATAAATCCATCTGAAAACTTGTAATGTATCTGGAATACATTCATCATTTTAAATTCAATGTGTTTACATCATAAGCAAACTGACTGATTGTTTATGTCAATGAGATTGTGGATGTGAGCATCTCCAACAGAATATATTGAGTTCTTGTTCAGTTCTGACTAAAAAAAACAAATGCTTTTTTTTTTACAGATTCCAGGATTTTTATGCTTTAAACCTATATTAACTCCTTTTTGGTCACCTAGGGGAAGAGTAACAAGCTGAACACACGCGTAACATAATATCAGCCTATTAAGTTTTTATGGTGAATGTGTTAACAAACAGTTGCCCGTTTACACATTCAACAGACACTGAGCTATACTAGCCTTGAATCAAGTTTCTGGCCACTTGATGTATGTAAGTCCAACATTCATAGTCTCCCAAGGGAAATATCTATATAATAAATAATGTGAAGTGTAAAGTGTTTAATGAGAACAGCGAGAGTGAACCAAAGCGGTAAATTCACGGAAATCCAAAATAATGAACATAAACTCTCCGTAGAGCTGAAGGAGGGGCAGAGTCGGGTGATCATTCTGAGCTACTACATCTAAAGTAGCGACAGGTAGTCATTTGATCAATTGTACATATACATCATTCTAATCAGCTTATGTAGCAGGAATTTGTCTTTGAGAGTTTCAAAAATGCTGTTTATAGATGTATAGGGTCATTATTTAGCTGATTCACACTGTATATAGAATAGTGTACCTCATTACTGACTCCAAACAAGTACTTTAAACAATCTATTTTTTTCTTTCGTTGCGCTTTATTTGCATTAATGTTGAAGTACATATAAAATAACATTGCAAAGCAAAGCATGAAAGTAGACATTACTTTAAACTAAATGCTACTAATGGTAATGATATTAATGGCACTGTCTATAAAAAGAACAGGAGTTTGCTTTTTACTACTTTAACCTAAATCTTACAAAGACATATGTTGTGAGAGCTCTTTTGAACTACTAATATCATTATATAATAACAAGGAAAATTTTGCTAAATACAAATTCTGCATTCCTGTAGGCAGATCTGTGATTTTGAAAGCACTGAAACATGATTTAAATGTGCTCTGATTATATAATTAGTAACAAATTAAGAGCATGTGAGTGTGACTCTCCCGTCGAATCATGAGAGGACAGTGTAGTGAATGATGTCTGTTATCGCTCACACAATCTAAGATGAAGTTTAAGGGTATGAAACTAACCAACCCTGCAGCAACATTCAAGCATTAAAGCATTGTTGACTTTAGTCTTTACTGACACTGTCACAAGTAAGGCAGCTGGTTTGCCGCTGATGTTTTTGTTAGTCAATCTCATTTGTTTGTACATCTTTATGAATGATTCCATGTTGTTAAAGAGAGCAACACCTTTAGTTATCAATAATCATTATATCAGAAACAGATCATCCAACCTACAATATAGCTGCACCTGGTAAAGTTTACTTTCTTCCAGAAAGAATTGTGTCTTCATGCCATAACTGATTTAGTGTAATATTTATCAGATTGCTATTTCTAGATTTATGTAAACCTTTGAGGTCGCTGATACATGTTGCTGCTCTTGTCTCTACACATGCAGTATATTTCCGTTGCACTCAGTGACATCTGTGCAGAGACCAAACAAAATAAAACCTCTGATAGAAATGGGTCACCCTTTGACTTCCTGTGTCGTTGTGGAATAAGGGCTGAGGGGTGGGCATGTGAGCTGAGTGAAAGAGTGTGAGAGGCAGCCTGAGATGTGTGTGTGTGTGTGTGTGTGTGTGTGTGTGTGCGCGCATGTATGTGTGTGTGGGTAGTGTTTACATGTCCTGTCAGGTGGTCCTGGTGGTGTGTGTGTGAGAGAGTGAGCATGTGTATTAGAGTGTGGTTTGACATTTAACTCTGACACAACCAGCAACATCCGTTCACCTCAGAGTGAATTTACAATATTAAGCCATGTCAGTAAGAAGCCACACAAGACGCTTTTCATCAGAGCTTCTCCATCTCTACTTTCCATATCACAAGAGTTTAATTTGTTATGGGCCATACCCAAATTGTTTCAAGCCACACAAAACTACCAATAACTCTAAAAGAGCACTTTTATCTCTGTCCAGCTCTAATTAAAATACTAGGTATTTATACACAGTACTGTAAATGTAGTCACTGATTCACAAGAGACTGGATGCATTTACAAAAGTACTGGGTGATGGGGGTTAACTTAACTCTGAAAACCAATGGGTGACCAATCAAACCTAGGACAATGGATTGCTTTGATCCAGTGTTAGTGTTATTTTTTATATTACTGTTGGGTTATTTACTAGTGTTAGACACAATAAGCTTGAGTTTAACCTTAAAACTGTCTCAAATGCATTAGTTGTACAAAACAATGTTCATGCAACATTAAAAACTGCAAAGGAAGTACTCATATTATTTTCCTGAATTTGAAGTACTATTACCACAGTGTAGAAATACTCTGTTACAAGTCAAAGTCCTGCATTCAAAACTTTACTTTAGTAAAAGTACAAAAGTGCTAGCATGAAAACATACCTAAAGTACCAAAAGTAGAAGTACTCATTGTGCAGATTGTGCAATCAGCAACAAATAATGACATATATGTTAAAACAGGGCTTGAGTAGAAAGATATTTTATTTTAACTAAATAAAGCAACAATAACATAAAGCATAGCACTAACACTTAAATCAAAATAATCCATTGTTAAGGGTTTTCTACCCACAGTTGGTTCGCGGGGTAAAGTTAACCCAGTACTGCGTCTGTGATTTATGTCATTTATGTCCCTGCAGTATCTGATGCAGTGTGTTCACTCTACCACTAGGTGACATTAGAAAACTGAACAAATCTTTCCTCTATGGTGTCTGTATCGTGTCAATGTTGTCTTGTCTGTGCAAAAAAAAAAACAAAAAAACGAGCATATCAATCATTTTACATTCACTCCTTACGTCCTGATTCAATAAATATTTTCTTTATCTGCTGAGTGTGCTGGTGGCCAACAGGCGTTCGTCCAGCTGGAAGGCTTTGCAGTCTCAGCCTGTTTAGATTTCCTCCGCCTGCTCAGTCAATCACAGAGGAAGCTTTGACCCAGCTGGCCAGAAGACATGGAGGGAGGGAGAGAGAGAGAGAGAGAGAGAGAGAGAGAGAGAGTACCATAAAACAGAGAGAAAGAAAAAAAAAACTTGTAAATTTTGTTGAAAAGCCACAGGGATTGTTTTGGATCTAACCCACAGTGAAATAAGAGGATGTGGGGTCAGGCTGCCTGCATGTTTCACCCTCTTTATGTGGAGTAGAAACAGAAAGCCAGGAGGAGGAGACACAGCAGTCACAACCACCACATCGGCCATATTATTGAGGGCGAAAGTGGTTGTACCAAAGCAAAGATAACCAGGGACAGATCCATGAGCTTTTTCTGAAGTAAAAAGAGCACAGATGTTGTTGTTTTTTAGCTACTTAAAGATGTGTGGATGACTATCACAGTGACCCTTAACTATTTGTGTTCACATGCAAACGAACCCCAGAGCCTGTGCTACTACATCTACAACAAACATCTATGATAAAAACAAATGAATTATTTAGTGCAAGCTTGATTTCTTTCATGATCATTAATACAATACTTTCAATAGTTTTTGTTTTATTTAAACCAATAGATCGACATTCTGAGACATACACTTGATGAGAAGATCAATACCTCATGTCTGTATTCTAAATAGGACGCTATACTGTCAGCTAACCTTGCCAGACAGCTGGACTAGGGTCACAATATTTTCAGACCCTGAAACCGGGACCCATAAGTGTAGCACACGTTCATGCACATGTATGTGTTTGCACGCATCAAATGCATTTTCATCATGAAAGGGGAGCATTATTTCAGCACTACGTTCGATGCTTGGTACTTAAAAATAGAGACGAGAGTGGTAACAATCTTCCCCACACAGGGCAGAATGCACTGTGAATAATAAACAATCATGTTAAATCATCAATTTTAGAGAAAAACAGGTTGTAAATAATAATGAAATGTGTGCGTGCAGAGATGGTTCTATAACTATTTGTGTTATTTGAGCGTGAGAGATGTCAGCAGACATAACTGTTAAAGAACAGCTACAGTATACGCTTGCTGACCAACTGTCCATTCCTGAGCTGAACCACAAGAACACTTTGAGGTCTGAAATTCTCTCTGGTTTTCAACTTTGAATGATGACCCATGATTATGTCAGCCACTAACAATATGTTTTTTGGGGGTGGGGAATGGGGGTGGGGTTGTGGTCAGGCAAAACAAAATCTGCTTCTGGCCCAAAAAGTCTCCAATCACTATTTATTATCACAGGACAGCGGAAATATCTGCTCTCCTTCTATTGATCGATTAACCCAGCCACACTTCCACTCCTGGTTTCAAGTCAGTTTTATGAGCTGTAAAATTTAGTAGCTATTCTTTCGTCAGCAGTCGCCACACCCAGAAGAGAAACCTGTTCATCTGGAAGGTCAAAGGTCATGGGTCTTTTTTATTACTCCAGAGGTCAGAGAGAGGAGGAATTAGATGTGTGCAGTGGTGTTAGTGATATGCTGCTGCCGGAGCCCATAGAACAGATACCAAATAGAAAGATAAATGAAACTCCTGATTTAAGACTGCAGCGCTTCCAAATAAAATACCACCTGAAAGAACACCAAAGGAGGATTACTGGGGTCAGACAGACCAAGACAGACGGCAGAATTACGAGCTCCTCCGGGAGATGAGCATCTGATTCCTAAAGACAACAGGTAGTAAATGTTTACAGAAAGACAGCATGAGGTGGTTTTAGACGAGTCTCTTAATAGTTTATATTAAGAACATTGGAAAACCAGAGGAATGTTCTCCTGATGTAACTGCGTCTAGGAAACCCTTGGGACCCAGCGGCGTTAATGTTCAACAGCTGTGCTCATGTTACACGTGTGCACAAATTCTGCCTCTTCCTCCTCTTGTACTCTGCAAACGGCTGCCAAAATTATTCAGCAAACTCAATAAAGTGAAACTTTAATAACTAACTTAATATTTTGAATTGCAACTATTTAATTTTCAAGCACCAAAATAATTAAAAATTAGGTTCATAGTTCACTTGCAAGTTTTGACACGCAAAATGTTTTGTTTTCTAAAACTCAAAGATTTGGGTTTTTCTAAAGAAGAAAAGTAAATAACATCAATAAAACTTTTTTAGATTTATTTCAAAACATAAGTTTGACTTAAAACTTAAAAACCTAGTGAAGTTGCCTTTAAAGATTTCTCAACAGTTTTTTTTTTACAGTGCAGGTAGCTGCATCAATCTGAGGGGTCACTGTGTGAATAAGGGGGAAAAGTATATATTTATGTTTATTGTGTTTCTTAATTTGCTTTTTCTCGTGAAATACTGGATGCTTTTATCACTTGACCGCTAAAAATGATTAAACTTAATCAATCTGAGAAGAGAACATCACTTTTCAGTGGCACTGGGGTTGCCAGTAAACATTGCTTCCCTTTAAAGGGATAGTTTTAAGTATACCACTATGAAGCTACAGCCAGCAGCTGGTTAGCGTAACCTGGCTCTGTCTAAAGGTGATACGATCCCCCTACCAGCACCTCTATATAGACAAAAGAGTGGTATCAAGCTTTTTATTTCTCAGCAAGAAAAAGTGCATTCGCTAAAATGTTGAACTATCCCTTTAAAGGGTCAGAAGCCAAAAGGGTTTGGAGACGCTGCCTGAAAAGATACCATTAAAATGTGGCCAATTTAGGTGAAAGACTAAGATATTCCACATTCCACATTAGTGTACACTAATGTCACCAGATATAAACCTGCCTGGTTAATTTGGTTTGATTTTATCTGTTCATCTGCCTGCTGCCTATGGGTGACACAGAGCACTAGTGTTAATAATGGTGATCTGGGAAGGTGTGGATCAGGAGGTCCCTCTCATGCTTTACATCCCTTTCACTGTAGTTTCTGTCCCTCACGTTCTCTCTCAACGTATTTACACTCCCATAATCACATTTGTCTCTTTCTTGCATTTTCTCTGCTGTCTTCCACTGAAGCATAACATTACAGTTTTTGGTCTGGAAACACAGATTATAGCCTCTCTCTCTCTCTCTCT